AAATCTCAATCAATAACTTGTAGCATCAATCCAATGTTGAGATCCATGCAAGAATTATTTTCTCTATGCTCTAACGTTATTATTGTTTGCGCCTATATGAATAATATTTTGTAATGTCGTGAATCTTTTTTTAGATATGTACAAAAAATGATTGAGTATTACTCAGTCAAACGAGCAAGTCAATATCGTATTTAAGTATCTACAGAACCTGGTAGAGTTATCAATCTAACAAATATAGTTTTTAAAATTTAATGGCACACAATATTATCAAGATTAAATGTAATGGTGTGTTTGATTGGTGGAACATAGTAGAATATAACTCCCAACAAAGAAATCTAGTAGAATATAATGGAACATATCTAGATTTTAGTGATGGTGGAGTATAACAACTAGGATGGAAAGAGATGGATCCACCAGAGGGAATATTGAGCCAATATAATACAGGGAATCAACCCATAAAATCAAATCTGCAAAATTTTCACATAGTGGATATAGAATAGCATTGGAAAAAAAATCATGCACATAGTTACACTTCTAGACTACCCCATGCCATTGGACTGGATACATCATTGTAGTATTGCATCATCTTAGATGTTACTTTTTTTGGGCAAATCTTAGATGTTCGTTTTGGGAGCTCTTTTATACCGCCTTTAAGTTGTGTATATGGGGGCTGTGCTTGAAGGCATTCAGAAGGGGCTGGCAAGTGGCAATGACCCTTTAATTTGTATTCGTATATTTTTTTACCAAACAGTTCCACAAAATTATTCTATATTTAATATTGCTTGTTCATTCTAAAATCAACTTAATAATTGATAATTATATATATAATATAAATATTTATAATGGAGAATTTATATATAAATGTAAACTTTGCTACATGGAAACGTACATATATTTGAATACAAATATTCATCTCATAATTATCCATACATATTAAAGTAACCAATTATGCATTAGAAAAAGTTCATGTATTCAAGAATAGTTTCATGGAATATGTTCTGTATTCCTAATAAAAGGATAATAAAAAAAGAATTGAAAGAGAAAAAATAGAAAAATGAAGAAGGAAAAAGATACTCCCTCCGATCCATAATAAGTGTCGCAATTTTGAACTATCAAAAGTGTGGCACTTATTTTGGATTGGAGGTGGTATTAAAAAAAGAATCCAAATAAAAAACACAAGTGAAAAAATGCATCGTTCACATATTGGGCTCTGGCCGTGGAAGATCTTAGCCGAAGTTTTCTTAACTTCCCGCTATGAGTATGTATGAATTCAGGTTACTTTTTTCAGAAGTATCTTGCTATATTGAACGTTGTCTCTCCTTCCTGTTGCACATAAGGAAAAATTCCTTTCTCTATCGAAAAACCGTTAGGCATGGGAGTAGAGAACAAGTGTCTCATTCCAAGAATTTGAATACAATGACGACCACGTCGATCCACTACCCGCCACCGCCATCTTGTTCGATCGCTCGGGGTGATCAATGAGATCCAATGACCTCCGCTTTTTTTGCGAGGTAATACGTTTCTCATTCATAAAATAAAGATCCAGTTACAAGACACGTAATCACCGACATTACAGCTGAAAGGATAGGTGATGAGTAGCAGCGAATGAAGTGGATAGAAATTAAACAGTATTCTAAACACAGATTAATAGCCAAAAATACAAAATCATCTTGAACAATTCAGAAATTTAAATAGTAGATGAAATGAGCCTTGAAGATTCTCATGTGACTTCCTCTTTTCTTGAAACCTCTTGTCAGCTTCTTTGTTGTGCACTTGTGAGGCATCGATCTTCCTAATTAACTAGATCATGATAGCGCGCGTTGCTGCGCCTGTTCGTTTCTGAAGAAGTTAGGATATCGTGTAAATATTTGGAAAAGATATAGAAAACAAATTTACATAAGGTACACCTATATTAGACAATGATGCAAATATAATATGATAGTAAATAATGCTTGCTAAGGGGCCAAACTTTGATGCACGTCCTGTTGTGACGTCGCCATGACAGGTCAAATGACACGTAACAAATAAGCTTCTCTAAAATACAATTACCCGCTGAAGCTTTAAAGGATCACCAACATAATTTCAGGAACTATTTCACATACATGAGACAAGCATGCGGCAATTTTCAATTAAAAAGTACCATTTTCACTGTCTCATAGGCATATACAACAAGTAACAATTTTCACAGTGGATAACATTTTTCTTACGACATAACACATAAAATGGAAACTAAGAGTATGGAAATTTTAGTTTTTTTAGACATATAATAGTGAGCGACAACTTTCACAATGTTTGAGATTCCCTCTTTAGACCTCATATCGGCTAATATGATTACGGCGTGGCTTACATAAAGAGTGCAAGAGAGAACTGCGTACTTTTCTAGCCATCAAACTTTTCAGGGCTCAAAACCTCTCGGTGGTTTCTGAAATATCTGATGGTTCAATAACAAAATGGTCATCTAGACCTACATCCATACTAAATTGCACAAAGCAGCATGGTTAGTAGTGCAATGTCGGGGACTATTGCAAACCAGACCCATAGTGTGGTTCAAAACTTGTATTTCTCACTTTTTGAGAATATACATCGAGAGGTAATTATTCACATAACGGGAGACTTTTTTTAAGAAAAAAAGGGAGACTTTCTACAGGTACATATATGAGATAGACATCCCAACCTCACTAACTGAGAGACACAAAAGCGGATAAATTGACTACTCCCTCCGTCTAGGTGAGTAAGTCATCTTAAGTTGTGCATCGTGACCAAGGAGGAGGGGAAAACGAGAGACCTTAATGTTTATGTGCTAATTAATAGCATTGCATGTAATGAACTACACCACTGCATGTCGTGTTTGGTAGTCTCAAGTCATTAAAAGCATGCACACCGCTCGTCTCTTATTGATTAATATGTGAAGAAACAAGAAACGAGGTAGAAATTAATGCACTGCGCCTAAGTGTTTTGGGATTATTAGGTTTTTGTAAGATGACTTACACACCTAGACAGAGGGAGTATGTCAATGCCACTGCCAAAGAAGCATCCAGACGGGACTAACGAATGATCCATGGTTGATTTGCACATACTTCTTGGTATGCCTGACTTAACCCCAACAAAAGGCGATGGGCATGTCTGCATGTGCATCGCACACGAGACAAGGTAAAAAATAAAACACATTAACCTCATTCCATGGTGATAAAGAATCTCACAATTTAGCTCAACGGGGTGGATATAAAAGTGTTTCCCGGGACAATTTTTTTGGAGTTATTGTTTCCTGGGACAAATAAGTAAGAGCAATTATCTCACAAATAAATGTTCGGAGATTAAAGCATTAGCAGTGCTCACGGCCACTGGGGACGAAAGCACGCACTCACCGACCGGCCCAGTAAGCATTCGCGGCCGGATCAATCACAGCTCGCCCAGCTAGCTCCATGGAGCAGCGGCCCAGAATAAATACCAGAACGTCAAAACAGAAAGCGATCGACTTAATTGCTAGCGATGGCAAAGCGATGTAGATCCATCTAATAATTGGATGGCTAGCGATGGCAAAGTGTTCTGGTGGCTCATAGCTAGCTCAGTTATACTGTTTAGTAATTAATTAAGCCATCAAAGTATGAGAAGAAAAGTTGGCTCAGCACATCAGGCATACCCGGTTTGGATTCAGCCCATCAAAGCATATCAGGCAACGTCCACACGCCACCAACAACTTCTTTCTCAACCAGAATGGTAGGCAGAGCAAACAAATCCTTGGTATTTTCAAGTGTATGTTGTTCATGTGCGCACAAGCCCACAAATCTTGATCAAGCCATGCCAGAGGAGGAATACTTTAAATCGCCAGCATGCCAGGCAATTTGATTCCAGCTACCATGCATCCTCAGGATACTAAATCAGAAACTAAGCTAGTAGATACCAACGATTGACCATTCACGAATAGGGCATTCAACAACATCATAAACAAACCTTATGAGCTAGTAGACTTGATGATAAACACATGCAGGATGCATGGAAGAATTAACCTAGCTACAAAATCATACTATAACTAGCCTCATCCCCCCACACTGAGTCACTCTATCAACTTTGAACATAAACCTAACCAGATAAAGTTACAACAGGCATTAATCTAGCAAAGATGAGACTTGTCGCATTCAATAGTCGACGGCCCAGCCAATCTACTCTTGAGGAGGTCCCCTTGTGGAGATGGTCCACGGCCTCCTCGGCCTCGACCACGGCCCCTTCCTCCATCACCTTCTGCACATGAGATTAATAAGATAGCATTGCTTAGTGGTGATTAAAACCATATTCAGAGAGGAGTTGGGCAATTGGAAAAGAATTATTCAAAGGAATGCCAATTGATAATATCATCACTACTTTCTACCGAAGTCAAAGCACAATATTAAAGATTTAATAAGTAACAAACACATTAACAATGCACCAAGAAGAGAATGAACCCATACTTAACTATTAGACAAATGCAGAGCACCTATAATACAAGTATATATTATGCTCCTCTAAAGATAGCTTAATTTGTTGAGGCTCTCATATGGCCAGAGTTGTTCATCAGTAAATCTTTTGTGTGACTTCAATTGTCAAAATCGGTGAATTTGTTTCTTGTGCAGCTGTGGCAGCATCTTGAGACCTAGTACAACTGCAATTAACTAGGCAGGGCAAAGCAAAGCTAGCTTGCTCGGTCCTTTTCGGTCGACTTTCGAGGTGAAAAAGCAAGCAGACAAGAAACAGCACTTGCACAATAACATCCACAATAAGCTAGTTGCAACATATGGAACATTCTTGTTTTCTTCATATTACACTACAGGTGACAGGCCTCAACATGCCCTGCCACTTAATGTCAGACAAAACGCACTGACTATATCTTTGACAGATTGGGCAGTAAGTTTATCATGCCGTTCCCAAATTCGAGGAGCATAAATACATCAGGTGTGGTGTACAGGTGGACGGTAACCATAGGGAGACATTGTCCACGACGTACTATTCCCAAGGCGTCTACCAGTTCAAGAATCAGAGTCACTTTCTGTATCGGAATGCACGTCAAACGGTATTATTTCCGTTCGTGTTTGCCTCAAGTGGCGGCATATCATCATCCTCATCTCCATCCTCATAAGAGTTGTGCAATGTCGTTCCTTCTAGCCCTGTCGCCCACCCATTGGGACTTGACTTGAAGATAGCCGGCCTGGCATAACAAAGATGAGTTAATCAGGGGCACCCAATGGAGAGGAAGGACGACAAGCTAACAATCCTGATTTTATCAAGTAGATAGACTACTGATGCAGAGCTCATACGAAAGCACAAATAAAAAAGATGGAATTAACCAGCCCAGTCCCCAGTTAAGTTACAGGATCCATGAGTTGAGCAACAGTTTCAACAACAACATTCCTTCCACTTGTTGGTTTGTACCTCAACTGCGATTGGACAGGAAACACTTGCAGAAAGGAACAAGAAACAGGGGAAAAACAAGAAACTAGTAGTAGTAGTAGTAGCACTCAGCTGAATTGTTGGAAAACTCTTCTTGGTGGTCACAATTGTTCCTACTATAACATGCAGAAATAACAAGCAGCATATGGAACAAAATCTTGTTTTCTTCATATCACAGCACAGATGACGACGACAAGCTTCGTCATGCCCTGCAGCCACTTAATGTCGTACTACAAACTCACTCAGACTTTATCTTTGACAGATTGGGCAACAAGTGTACAGGTGGATGGTAACCATATATAGGGTGACATACATCATCCACGGCTCCTATTCCCAAGTCGTCTACCAGCTTAAGAATCAGAATCACTCTCTGTGTCGGAATGCACGTCAAACGGTCTATTCCTGTTTGTGTTCGCCTCGAGTGGTGGCATATCATCATCGTCGTCTTCTTCTTCGGAGTTGTGCTCTTCCTCAGCCTGCGATGTCGTTCCCTCTGGCCCTGTCGCCCACCCATTGGGTGTCGACTTGAAGATAGCCGGCCTGGCATAACAAAGATTGAGTGAATCAGTAACAACCCTGGTTCAATCAAGTAAACTACCTGATGCAGGGCTCGTGCGAAAGCACAAACAACCAACTGGTACATTATTATTAGAAAGGCCTCCTAGCTAGGAAAACTTTTAGTTTCTTCAATCCTACTGTGGTATTTTGCCATGATTTATACTACATCAACATTTGATTATAATATCAGTTCTCGGTGTCATTTTTCATGATCAAGCAAAACCTGAATCAAACCATTTAGGCTATTGAAATGCATTCGTAACGTGCATATCACATGGAATGTGAATTCAATCCAATGTTTAAGAAGGAAAAAACAAACTGGGCTTTGAAACCTGCATATGCACAGTATACTATTGAAAGAAACAGCTGAATGAACTAACAGTCAACCACAAGCATATGAACCACGCCATGTATATACACATACTCCCTGCTCGGTCCCATATTAGAGGAGGCAGTATAGTATGCACGTGCATGTACCATGTATATGCACATACTTCCTACTTCCAGATTCGAGAGCCTCGTCCCTCCCACTAGCATCCACAACCACGAAATTCCCTGCACATTCACTCATTCATTGACAGTTCTTGATCAGAGCTACTGTAGTTTTTTTTAGCGTGGCCAAGTATAAAAGCCAAGCCATTTGGTACTAAATAAATTAATGACCGTTCTTGATCCAGAAGCTCGTCTGGAACTTGGCGGGGAATAGGGCGAGAGACTTGACGCCCTCGCCGTCCGTCACCTAGCACCAGCACGGCGGCAGCAGGAAGGAGTGAGGAAGAAGCAAGAAGCAATTTTGAAGAAAAGAGAGGGAAGGAAGGAAGAAGGTAAGAAGGTACCTCGATGAGGTTGGAGCCGCGCAGCGTGACGACCTGCATGATGCTCTCGCCCTCCGCCAGCGTCACCGCGGTGCCCTCCTCGCACGCGCGCCGCAGGTTCTTCCTACCGCCTTTCATCCGACGGCGCCGCAGCCCACCGACAGAGGGAAGGTTCTGGTGCTGGACTCAACAAGTGTAGCGGCGGCGGCGGCGGCGGCAAGGCCGAGCAAGGTCTTCTCTTGTTGCGGCGGCGGTCCGCTGCTCGGGTGGGGGAACTAGCTTTTTTTTGAGAATCAGGTGGGAGAACTAGCTATAGGTAGGACTGCAGCACATAACACGCCCAGCCCACTATGTATGTGGGAGTTGGCCTTCCAACCATGGGGCTTCAGCAAATCAATGGCCCCTCTAAACATTATAACACTACTTTGGTTTTTAGGTTCACCGGGGCAAAACATAAACAAAACAAATGCTACCACGTGACATATGTGGTAAGAAATCTAAATAATTCAAAAAATGGTAATTTCGTTAATTTAAATAATAATGGAAACTAGATTTTGTGACACCAACAGAAAAAAACCCAGGAATTGGGTTAATTTTATTTCATGCTCGGTCTCTATGCCCGCCCTTTGGCGTAGAATGAGCTTAAGGTCCTTTTTTAAATGTTTACAAGTTCTACAAATAATAATTTTAATTCATACAATTTAATATTCTTAAGGTCCTTTCCGAAATGTTTACGGTGTAACAAAATCCAGCTCAAAACAGCGCATGTCCACGGTGTAACCGACAAAATTGGGATAGAGTGGTGGGAGCTAGACGGGCGGGACCACTAAATTCATGAATCCATGCAGAGACAATAGAGCAATTAAATTTGAGGCAGAGCTATGTGTTAAGACGAGGGGGGAAATGCCCCCACCCCCTCCATTGAACGAATTTATGAAAAATGAGGGCTTAGCCGTTTGACGGCCACAAGCACTACATTACACAACATGGACACACTATAATACACAAATCTCATAACTCCTCGTGAGTGGCAACAGAACGAGTGGCTCAGAGTAGCTGGTGTAACATAATAAAGAGTGTGCACAACATAGTCACAGTGCCGACGTAAGCTGCAAACGAGTGGCTCGGAGTAGCTGGTGTAACATAATAAAGAGTGTGCACAACATAGTCACAGTGCCAACGTAAGCTGCAAAGCAGGTGAATGTCAATGGGAGGGGAGAGAAACTTCGATGGGCATTGTGGTTCTTGTGGGTATGGACTGCAAGCCAGCCGAAAAGGGCGACGGAGCATTCTTGGTTCATGAGCAAAAGCGCCTTGCGCCCTGCAGCTTGCACGTGACATCCATGAATGCAATGTGGAGTCACTGCCCCATCATGGTGATTGCACGGGCGGAGAATAATTAAGGTGACCACCAGGCTCGTCAACCATGGTGATCCCAAGTTTTTCTTCTTGTTTGCTCTACATCTTTGTTTAGTTTGTTGATTCGATGAATGCTACAACTTGATGATCATGTTACCATATAGCCCGGGTGTGCTGCCACGCCGTACAAAACAAAAGAGGGCACGACATCATGTTGATGTATTGTTGGATGGAACTTGGGGGGCAAAGTGTGTGGATCAACAACACTTGGCGCCCACAACTTTTTGAACATCCGGTTCTTTTTTCAGATGTAATATTTATATTTGAACTATTGTTGTACTAGAATATTTGCATGCCATTTGTGGATTAATTTTCTATTTTATATAATTATTTACATGCCATTTATGGATTAATTATGCTATTTTATATAATTATTTTCATGCCATTTATGGATTAATTGTTCTATTTATATAATTATTTGCATGCTATTTATGGATTAATGATGCTATTTTATATAATTATTTGCATGCCATTTATTCTATTTTATGTAATTAATTGCACACTATTTATGAATCATTTGTTCTATTTTATTTAAATATTTGCACGGTACTGATGAATTAATCGTTCTATTTTATTTGTTCTATTTTATTTAAATATTTGCACGGTACTGATGAATTAATTGTTCTATTTTATTTGTTCTATTTTATTTAAATATTTACATGTTATTTACGAATGAATTATACTATCTATACTGCATGTTTTGTTTTTTGAGATTTATCTATACTGCATGTAATGGGTGCAACTTGAGGCATCCTTTGTAAACTTGGGCTAAACGGGCTTGTAGCCACAGGGAACCTCATCGTCTTCAGCGCCAGTAGCGGGCCGCGGTCCAGAAACTAGGTGTTTCCCTCGCCTCGTTCGGTGAGGCACGTTTGCACGCCAGCTGTTGCTGCTCTGCTTGTCTCAAAAAAAATTGTTGCTGCTCTTCTAGTTTTACGACAAAACCGATTTACTAGCATTACCGGTATTCAAAAATCTGAAAACAAAATTGAAATATAAAATGTTCGCAAGTTACTAAAATGTTGTCGAATTTGAAAAAGTTTATGAATTTTTTTATTTTCAAAACTATCCTCTAATTTTAAAGCATTAAAAAATTTGGAAAATGAATTTGCAAAACTTCATGAGTTTGATAAAAAAATTGTGAATTTTATAAAGTAAGTTGGCACATATAAAAATGTTGAAGGATTTAACAAATGATCATGAACTTTAATAAGTTTGGAAATCAGATATTATTTTCGGAATTTGAAAAAGAATCATGAGTTTTAAAATATGTTGATGGTTTTTCTACAAAAAATATTGAGGGATTTAAAACGAAAATGGAAAAAAGAAAATAAAGGTAGACGATGAGATGGACTCTCAAGTTGAGATGCATTGCAAGGTGACATTTTTTATTATTATTATTTTTTGAAAGAAAAGGTAGACCATGATCTACCTTATGCGTTCAAAACGGGACAAAGCCTGAATGACAAAAGTCAAATTACACCTACCTAAATGCTGCATCAAAGCAACCGGCCTAAATGGTTTTGTTTTACAGAGCATCAAGGTAGGTAGGTCTCTATGCTGAGGGGTGGCTCGGCTCAGCTCAAAGTTGAGCCTCCAATCCATCTTCTTCTTACTCTACCAAGGTAAAACTACATCTACAAATACAGTACAGCAACGAAACCCCTCCCTACTCCTACAAACAAACAAAGTTACAGACAAGTCAGTCACTACTCATCTCAGCTCATCTCATCTCATCTCATCTACAACAATAGAGACACACACCTCAACGCTCGCAGCCCCAGCCTACCTCACCTAACCCACCCCTTGATCTTGTTGCTGCTCGCCACCGCCGCCTGCTGCTGCTGCTGCCTCGTCACCCTGGAACCACAGAGACTCTGTGTCAGCTACCCGGTTTGGTGGTTTCAGAATTTACACCAGGATGGATGATCAAAGAAACCAAATACGTGCACATGCAGCACAGCTAGAAAATAACCAACCTTTGATTCTGCAGCTGATCTTTGTTGTGTCTGCTCCTTCAGTTTGACCTCCAGCTCCTCAATCTGAAACAAGAAAAGGCACATAACCAAATCAATCCAAGTCTCTTGTTGTTAATAATTCCCATTGATTGATGATTGTTATCCAGGTAAAAGATTCAGTTGAGTTCGGTACCGTTTGCTTAAGAGCTGCGACCTCAGAGTCTGACTGCTGCTGTTGTCCAAGCTTACGCTCCAACTCCTCTATCTGCATGGGTAATATTATATTATCTGCCTTTCCTTAAACAATTACTACTCCCTCCGTTCCTACATATAAGTCTTTTTTGATATTACACTATAAACTAGATACGGATGTATATAGACATATTTTAGAGTGTAGATTCACTCATTTTGCTCTGTATGTAGTCCATAGTGGGAATATCTAAAAAGACTTGTATTTAGGAATGGAGGGAGTAGCTGTTAACGACATTAATTAACCACTTCCAATTCCTACGTTACCTTGTGCTGTAGCGCACTACACGCTTCTTCCTTCTCCTTCAGTTTTCCAGAATGCTGATTCTGCTGCTTTTCCGATGTAATCTGAGAATGCATCTTAGAGTCTAGTTGGCTTTCAAGCTCCTTCACCTTCAATCAAGTTATTACACAAAGTCTATCAGCCACAATTTACAAGTGAAGAAAAAGCAGCCTAGAAGAATCAACACAAGATTCAGTCACAAGATATTTGAAACTGAAATATTAGCCTCCT